AGAAAAGAGGGACCTCCTAAGGCTTGGGACCAGGGGCAGACTGACAATTCATGGGGCCCCCGGGCAATAGGGGATCATGGGGCCCCAGTGTCCTTGCCCAAACTCAAAAAAGCCTATGAAAAAGGTAGCGGGGGCATCTCATAGGGCCCCATACTGACCCTGGGCCCTCTGGCAGTGCCCGAGTTTCCAAATGGTCAGTCCGCCCCTGCTTGGGACTTTAAAGGCTTAATTAGTACCACAAAATTATTTAAAAGAGTACAAACTTTTTATTTGTCAAATTGTTGTGTTACAACAATTTTTTGACAAATAAAAAGTTTGTACTCTTAAATAATTTTGTGGTACTAATTAAGCCTTTAAAGTCCCAAGCCTTAGGGGGTCCCTCTTTTCTCTCTCTTGACAGGTTTCCTTTGATAAAAGAGCTTCATATCTCCACTCTATTTAGTAAAACATTGGCTGAAACTGTATATCTATATTATATTTGTCTTATCATTAAAATTAATTAAAATACACAGAACTTTGAAATTTAAATACAGCTCAATCCTACTCAGTCTAAGCAGTGGGTTCTAGAACAGGAGGGTTGTGATGGTGCTGTCCACGGGTAAGTGTCTCCATTGATCAGTCAACAAAGGCAACATGACCCTTCTTCCTCAACCAGTGTTCAGTTCCAGTACCCGCACTAATACCCAGCCAGGAATGGTGTTAAGTGCATAGATGCAAATTTTAAACCGCTCATTTACAGATCAACGTGGTGGGTGTAAGTAAATGAAAGCCGAACATATATATAGCTCCCTCAAAGTAATTCATGCAAGTTATTTTTGGGTCTTTTTTTATTTTGCCTTTCTATCTGGATTTTAGAATGGGGACGTGGATAATCCAAACTGTGTCGGTATACAGGGTGTTCTGGAGGCCTACTTCAAAAGTCTTCGAACGGTTCAGCTTTATGGGCCAACCAACTTTGCATCAGTTATAAATCAGGTTGCCAGGTAAGTAGATGCTTCTCATTTGACTTGAGGTTGAAGGTTTAGTCATTTTTTTTGTGGTTCTGATTGTTTTTTCCTTCCCCTTGTTGCTCTTTAGTGCCGCTAGTGAGGTTACAGATGGCTCCCAGTATTATGTCCTTCTCATCATCACCGATGGAGTCATCTCTGATATGGCACAGACCAAAGAAGCTGTTGTAAATGTAAGTCTGTGTGGTTAAACTCTTCATTTCAATTTCATTGAATAATTAATCCTTTAAAGTTTCTCTACTTTGCCTGATAAAAATATTATCTTTTATCATTTATTCTGTACAATACAAGACTTCTTGCCACCCACTGCACAGCTGCATCATGTCCTGGGGTTAGAAAAGCAATCGGAGTGTCATGCCAATGGGTGAAAAGTTTGGAAGCATTTAATTGTATTAATACTTTATCGGGGTAACATGAGATAAAACACCAATGTACTTTGTTTGTTAGAACAGCCTAGCTTCATCAAGGCTTGGAAAGCTGCAAGGGACAGATTGGTGGGACTCTGGGATCTTTCGAAGTTCAGAAAATACATTTGTGGTTTGCGTTCAAACTAAAGGCTTTAGCAGGTGGTGATGAGAGGATTTATTGGGGACTGTGCATGAGCACACAGCTAGAAAAAACCTTCCATAAAACAGTCTTGTTTCTTCACTTTACTGAGTCTCTGACTGCAGCCTAGCACTGCAACCACAGGCTATAGTCCACTACCCCAGCCACAGGCTATAGGCCACTACCCCAGCCACAGTCTATAGTCTACTACCCCAGCCACAGGCTATAGTCTACTACCCAAGCCACAGGCTATAGTCCACTACCCCAGCCACAGTCTATAGTCCACTACCCAAGCCACAGTTCCAGTCCTAGCACCCCAACCACAGGCTCCGGCCCATCACCCCAGACACAGGCTCCGGCCCATCACTCCAGACACAGGCTCCGGCCCATCACTCCAGACACAGGCTCCGGCCCATCACTCCAGACACAGGCTCCAGCCCATCACTCCAGAAACAGGTCAAGCCTAGTACCCCAGCCACAGGCTCCATCTCATTACCCCAGCCACAGGCTCCATCTCATTACCCCAGCCACAGGCTCCATCTCATTACCCCAGCCATGGGCTCCAACTTAGCATCCCAACCACGGGCTCCAGCTTAGCACCCCAACAACAGGGTCCAGCCCATCACTCCAGAAATAGGCCCAGCCTAGCTCCTCAACCACGGGCTCCAGCCTAGCACCCTAACCACAGGCTCCATCCTAGCACCCCAATCACAGGCTCCAGCCCACTACCTCATTCAAAGCCTCCAGCCCATCACTCCAGAAACAAGCCCAGCCTAGTACCCCAGCCACAGGCTCCAGCCCATCACTCCAGACACAGGCTCCGGTTACTCTCTCCAGCCCAGCACCCTGGCCACAGGATCCAGCCCATCACTCCACACATAGGCTCCAGTCTAGCAACCCAGCCACAGGATCCAGCCCACTGCCCCAGTCACAGGCTCCAGCTCATCACTTCAGATACAGGCTCCAGTCTAGCACCCCAGACGCTCCCTCCAGCCCAGCACCCTTACCACAGGCTCCATCCCACTATCCCAGCCAAAGACTCCAGCCCATCACTCCAGAAATAGGTCCAGCCTAGTACCCCCCAGCCACAGGCTCCAGCCCATCACTCCAGACACAGGCTCCAGCCCATCACTCCAGACACAGGCTCCAGCCCATCACTCCAGACACAGCTCCGGCCCATTACTCCAGACACAGGCTCCGGCCCATCACTCCAGACACAGGCTTCCGGCCCATCACTCCAGACACAGGCTCCAGCCCATCACTCCAGACACAGGCTCCGGCCCATCACTCCAGACACAGGCTCCGGCCCATCACTCCAGACACAGGCTCCGGCCCATCACTCCAGACACAGGCTCCGGCCCATCACTCCAGACACAGGCTCCGGCCCATCACTCCAGACACAGGCTCCGGCCCATCACTCCAGACACAGGCTCCGGCCCATCACTCCAGACACAGGCTCCGGCCCATCACTCCAGCTCCGGCCCATCACTGCAGACACAGGCTCCGGCCCATCACTGCAGACACAGGCTCCAGCCCATCACTCCAGACACAGGCTCTGGCCCATCACTCCAGACACAGGCTCCGGCCCATCACTCCAGACACAGGCTCCAGCCCATCACTCGAGACACAGGCTCCAGCCCATCACTCCAGACACAGGCTCCAGCCTAGCACCCCAGACACTCCCTCCAGCCCATCACTCCAGACACAGGCTCCAGCCCATCACTCCAGACACAGCTTCAGCCCATCACTCCAGACACAGGCTCCAGCCCATCACTCCAGACACAAGCTCCAACCTAGCACACCAGCCATAGGCTCCCCCTCACCACTCCAGCAACAAGCTTCAGCCCAGCACCCCAGCCACAGGCTCTAGCTCAGAGCCCCAGCCAGAGGTTTCATCCCAGCACCCCAATCACAGGCTCCAGACCTATACCCTAGGCCACAGACTCCAGCCCAACACCCCAGCCAGAGTTTCATTCAAAGAACCCTACCATGAAGGTTGCATAGTTTGGTCCTGTGAACTGATGACAAACTTATCAGGGATTGACCAGCCAACAAATAAGCCTCTAATTAAATGCCTCTAACACAGCATCCTGGAGGCTACTCAACAGAGCCTGGTAGATAGAATAACACAGTGATGGAGCTGAAGAGAGTCCAGAGAAGGGAACTGGAGGACCTCAGTTATGAGAAATGACTACAAACATTAAACTTATCCTTCCTGGAGTAGAGACGCTTGAAAGAAAATATGATAGCGATATACAAATATCTTCATGGTGAATATAGCACTGGGAATAAAGTATTCACTCTCAGGGAGTATGAAAAGGCACGGAGAAGCTCTTTAACCTTAACCTGCGTAGGAGGTTTTAACTGTCAGGGCTGTAAGGATGTGAACCTCCCTTCCACAATTGGTGGCAACAGCAGAAAGTATTGATAGTTTCAAGAAAAAAATCTTAGATGGGCATCTCGGTTAACACAGTATACAGGGACATGGGATATGATTTCAAACAGGAGAGCACACACACACCCACACAAGTCGAACTGAATGGACTGGTGTCTTTATTCAACCTTGCTGACAATGTACCTATGTAACCCCAGTGCTACAAATTGAAAGAGACTTTAAAAAAAACAGCCTAATATAAAGACATAAAGCAGGGATTGGAGAACACATCCCTCCAGTAATAAGATGCTTACTTTAAACTTAACCCAAGACCCCAGTGCTGCAAGGCAACTTTGCCAATCTCTCAGCTAATGTACATTATCTGTTTTCCTTGCTGCCATGTTGGACAAGGCTATTGTGCTTTAATGCAGCTCTTCATACATTGGAGGCTCAACAAAGAGGCACACTTTTACCATTATAATATTAACATGTTTCATCAACATCCAAATTCTTTTATCTACTCTTCAAACCAGCTGAATGATAAACTTGTAACAAGGAATGTATTAGCGGTCCAGAGAATGTATATCGGAGGTGAGCGTACATAGATATGGCACAATGCCGCTATTATCAAGCAGCTCACTGTACAAGTTATTTTGATAATTATCCGCCAACTCAGGCATTATGCAATCCAGCTACTATTCAGCACCTCACTGATCCTGGCTCATTAATCCTAACACAGTCACATCACAATAACAAGAGAAGTATGAACTCGCAGTATTAAAAAGAACAAAAGTGCACAGTGCTGAGCCCATAGATAGAATATATTATTCCATCACTTCCTAGACACTCGGCATGCCATGTGGGGCAGCATAAATAGGGCTGTCATGCTGCTTTGGCAGTGTCCTGCCATGTTTTTCCATAGTTACGCATGTCATGGAGATACAGTATATGGAGAAGTGGTGGGGAGGACATGCATAAGTTTGAAGTGTTACTAAACCCCGGACCCTGCATTCACTATATCTGGTCTCCCCGGACCCTGCATTCACTATATCTGGTCTCCCCGGACCCTGCATTCACTATATCTGGTCTCCCCGGACCCTGCATTCACTATATCTGGTCTCCCCGGACCCTGCATTCACTATATTTGATCTCCCCGGACCCTGCATTCACTATATCTGGTCTCCCCGGACCCTGCATTCACTATATCTGATCTCCCCGGACCCTGCATTCACTATATCTGATCTCCCCAGACCCTGCATTCACTATATTTGATCTCCCCAGGACCCTGCATTCACTATATCTGGTCTCCCCAGACCCTGCATTTGCTATATCCGGTCTCCCCGGACCCTGCATTCACTATATCTGGTCCCCCCCCCGGACCCTGCATTCACTATATCTGGTCTCCCGGACCCTGCATTCACTATATCTGATCTCCCCGGACCCTGCATTCACTATATCTGGTCTCCCCGGACCCTGCATTCACTATATCCGCTCTCCCCGGACCCTGCATTCACTATATCTGGTCTCCCCGGACCCTGCATTCACTATATCTGGTCTCCCCGGACCCTGCATTCGTTATATCTGGTCTCCCCGGACCATGCATTCACTATATCCGCTCTCCCCCCGGACCCTGCATTCACTATATCTGGTCTCCCCGGACCCTGCATTCGCTATATCTGGTCTCCCCGGACCCTGCATTCGTTATATCTGGTCTCCCCGGACCATGCATTCACTATATCCGCTCTCCCCAGACCCTGCATTCACTATATTTGATCTTTGAGAAAAGTCAGGTCTTCTATATCTGCCCTGACCCTGCATTCATAAAACTGCACTTTGTGGTAGAGCTGTTTAAATCTCACAAGTGGATAGACAGAAATTAGAAATACTCTGGCAGGTAAACAAAATACCTTATATGTATTTCATCCATGTATACAATACAAATAATGTAATGTATGCAAATACGGAATATTCACAAAATATAATATGATATATACTATAATAATAATATTTAATAATATAAAATACAAAACCACTATACCAGTGGTGGTCAACTTTCTTGATATGGTGGGCCCCAAGGGCGGCCCCCAACATCACCAAATTTGCCACACATTGAAATCAGTAAATATACAGTGTCAGAGGCAGAAGACACAATGGGGTTTATTTACTAAAGCTGGAGAGTCCAAAATCAGACTCCATTCTGCATAGAAACCAATCAGCTTCTAACCTCAGCTTGTTCAAAGCTTGTAGGAGGACTTTTCATTCTCCCCTTATTGTCCTATGAGGCTGCAGGACCCTTGACCCTCTGTCTGGACAGTACTGATTGGCCCTATGCTGATCACATGCACTCTCCCAAGAAAAAAAACTTTCGAGCCATACACACCAAACTTAGCATGTGTAGCTTGCCCCGAAGGCTCTGTTCTATCAGCAGATGAATTGGGGACTATGGAAGATGGGGAGGATCAGAGAAGACAGGATCAAATAGCCTTTTTACACAATGCAGAGGATTAATTCCTTAGGTTCCACAGTGAGTATAACAAACATACTTTACTGAATATACAGACTGATTTTACTGTTGTGGGTTTAGTAGCACTTTAATGCTGAACTTCAGCCTTTCCTTTCAGTCATGCACAGTTGTAAAGGCGCTTCTCCTGTAGTGAAATTGCTTACTCTGATTGATGCAGAGGGGGCTGTTTGGGAAAATCAGTCATTTGAGCTGCAGTTTTACTGCCCCTCTGACCAACCATCCAAATAAAGCAATGCAGCCGCTCACAGCTGTACCCATGCCATGGTCGCAATGCTTTGCTTTGTGGCTGCAACTAACCTTAAACAGCATGTCACATTCTGCAGGCAGTACTGCCGCTGGCTTTGACCCATTGAAGTGAACAGGGTCATGAAACAACTGCCCTGCAACAGTTCTGTGGTTTCAGCATTTTGAGGGTTAAAGAAGATACAAGGGCCCACATATCGCCTCCTCACTGCTGCCAAACACCCTCTGAAAAGTGATCCATTGCAAATAACTTTTGAGAGGGGCTGCCATATAGTCACACACAGGGGCGGACTGACCATTTGGAAACTCGGGCACTGCCGAGGGCCCTGGGTCAGTAGGGGCCCCATGAGATGCCCCTGGTACCTTTTTCATAGGCTTTTTTGAGTTTGGGCAAGGACACAGGGGCCCCATGATCCCCTACTGCCCGGGGGCCCCATGAGTTGTCAGTCCGCCCCTGGTCACACATGTGCGTGAGCCTGAACCCGGTGCATTTTGCACTCTCTAATGCTGCTCTGTTGCACTTTATCACAATGTGACTCATCTAAACTAGGATCACCCGTACTGACTAGTATCAGGATTGTGCCATGTCTGTGTTGGCGGATAATTATCATGAGAGCTGTGAAATTGCTCGTTAATAGCGGGACTTTGTAATGTTTATCTATTGTCTCCTGTATTAGTCATTCCGAGGGTCGCTAAAACACAAGTTGTGACATGTATGTATATTGTTCACCTGGTTTAAAAAAAAAAAAGAAGAAGAAGAAACATATTTATTTACTTCAGGTACTTATATAGTGCTGTCAATTTACATATATATATTGTACATTCACATCAGTCCCTAACAGGGGCGGACTGACAACTCATGGGGCCCCTATGTCCTTGCCCAAATTCAAAAAAGCCTAGGAAAAAGGTACCAGGGGCTTCTCATGGGGCCACCTACTGACCCCGGGCCCTCGGGCAGTGCCTGAGTTTCCAAATGGTCAGTCTGCCCCTGGTCCCTAACCCTCAAGGGGCGTACAATCTAAGGTCCCTAACTCACATTCATACATACACATACTAGGGACCATTTAGACAGGAGCCAATTAACCTACCAGCATGTCTTTGGAGTGTGGGAGGAAACTGGAGTACCCGGAGGAATCCCACACAGGCACAGAGAGAACATGTAAACTCCAGGCAGGTGGTGCCATGGCTGGGGATTCGAACCAACGATCCTAGTACTGCCGGGCGGAAGTGCTAACCATTTAGCCACTGTGCTACCCATACATATTAATACTTTATAATGTTATGCATGTTTTTTTTTTTTTTTTTCCAAAAACAATTTTATTGAGAAAAGAGGCACAATGATAACATATACCGGTTACATTCGGATCGTGGAAAGACTCAGTAAATGCCAGTATCCCCTGTCTGGATAGGGGATATACATCTGAAGCATGCATAGTTTCATCATATACCAATGCTGAAAACAAAAAAAAAAAAAAAACATAATCCAAACAAAAACCGACATGAAGAATGATGTGATCATAACAATTGGGTACATGAATCGGCCAATCCTCATATAGTCCCTCTACTGCAATGCAATACACGGAGAAAGGATGGTGATAGCAGTGGGTAGTTGGATGTCCACCCCGGGAGGTAGAAGCTGAAGAACTGTAGTTGTACTTGGGGGATAACAATTGGGTACATGAATTGGCCAATCCTCATATAGTCCCTCTACTGCAGTGGTTCTCAACCTGTGGGTCGCGACCCCTTTGGGGGTCGAACGACCCTTGCACAGGGATCCCCTAAGACCATCAGAAAACACATATTTCCGATGTGTAAAGAGCAGCTACTGTGTAGAAAGCAGCTGCTGTGTTGAAAGCAGCTACTCTGTTAAAAGCAGCTACTGTGTTGAAAGCAGCAGTATTGGAGGTAAAACGACACTCATGAATTATAATTACTGGGTAAATAATTTTATGGTTGGGGGTCACCACAACGTGAGGAACTGTATTAAAGGGTCACGGTATTAGGAAGGTTGAGAACCACTGCTCTACTGCAATACAATACACGGAGAAGGATGGTGATAGCAGTGGGTAGTTGGATGTCCACCCCGGGAGGTGGAGGCTGAAGAACTGTAGTTGTACCTGTGGGTCTGCTGGTAATCGAAGTTCACCAAAACTCAGAGAAATGGGAAGGTAGTGGTAAGAGTGTAGGATAGAGAGAGAGGAAAAAGTGGGGGGAGAGAGAGAGATAAAAAAAAGAGGGGGGGGGGGTAGGGAGGAAAGGGGGTTCCGCTGCAACTGCTCGGGGTCAAATTGTTCATGATAATCAGAGTAACAGTGAGAGGTCCTGTGTGTCAATCTAGGTTGGCATGTGTAGTGGTCCAAGATATAGGTCAGTCCCAGCAATATCTGGGCCGTATTATTCGGTCTCAGTCAAGTAGGGTGTAAATGATATGCATGTCACCCGAGATAGGTACGTATACCTAGTGGCTATGGAGCTATGCTCAAGTGGAGGAAGGGGGGGGGTCGTGCAGCAATTGGTGATAAGCGGCTGTTGTTTTAAAATGACTCCAACATGCCCACGTCATCCTGAATCTCTCGGGGCAATCTTTTGCTACAGAGATGAGTTCCTCCATTTCGGCAACTTTTGTTTAATGTGTGTTTTATTCATTATTGCAACTGTAGTCTTTTTGGGGATATTCAGGTCTGTTTTTGTTTTGCCTGTTTTTATTCTGTGACACTTGCACATTTGTTTACAGGTTGACTTTTCTGTTGGTACATATAGACTACTAACGGTAATATATGGTAGCTCTGTACATATTTTTTGTTGCTTATATTATTATGATCTATAAGAATATAGATATATGTAGTTCTCTATTCAGTCAGCAGGTGGAGTGCTAGTCTTCTTTTCACATCATTAGCACAATTACTTTTCAGCTGTGTTAGAGAAAGTTCATTGTTTTTAGAACTGCTGCACTCTGTGGTGCCTTCTGACAGCGGTAACATAGGGACCAGTGGAAGGAACCACGTTGGCCAACAAGGGTCATGCTATCCCTGAAGTGTGTGAAGTCACACTTCCCTGACATGGCGAATAGCCGGAGTGCTCAGAGCTGTTCAAAAGAGTGAAGATTCAACTCAACATATGTACATTTTCAACATATTTGTTTACAGGGTACCTGCTTTATTTTTTTTATTAAGGTGACGGGCCAAAAACGTGAGGATGCCTAAAACCTACAAAGCCACTTTTGTACTTTAAATGCTTTGCATTAAAAAATATTTTCCATTTTGCTTGAGGTGATTGTAGCCGTATTAGTGCATTTGCGACAGAAACAATTGAGTACTGTCCGGGATACTTTTTTTATTTGCACTAACATACAATTTTGAGGACATGTTTTCGGGGTATGTCCCCTTCTTCAAGGTCTAAGCAGTACTAACATTCTGCTAAAACTTTGTGAGTAGTACTGCTTAGACCTTGAAGAAGGGGATATTCCCCGAAAGCTTGTCCTCAAAATTGTATGTTAGTGCAAATAAAAAAAGTATCACGGACAGTTCTCAATTGTTCTTGTTGCATTAAAAACAAACTTTGAATTTGCAGGGGCTGTAGTGGTGCTGCGTCCCATTTTTTGATTGTTTAGATTGTAAACTTTGTATGAAACCTGCTTTGAT